CAGCAGAGGAGTGGACCAACCAGGCACCCTTGGAACTTTGGTAATCTGCATTGATCTGCTGTGTTTTTTATAAATTGTTGTAACAAAAGAGAGCAGCCATGTTCAAATGTTGCCACTCAAAACAATGCAGAGGACAGCGGCACTCACAGAACCCTCGGTGCTTCAAATGACAGGGGGCTGAATCCGTTTCATATACCCCAAAGTTGGATTTTCCAAATGTCAGTCAAGGTGACAGGGTTAGAAGATAATATAATGTATTTGTTTGTGTGTATTTAGCTGTATTCATCTATTTGATGCAGACATTCTTTGAAATTGATTATATCATTATTTTTTCCAAGAGTCATATTGACTTTTAGTTTAAAAAGTGACAGGGTCTTAGGTCTAGCTACTTTATTTACATTTAATTTAGCTAACCCTTTTATCCAAAGCAAATTACTAATAAGCCAAAAACATGCAAATATAGAAAAGTAAGAAACATGCAGGTCATTTTGCTTCAAATAGGACAAACCATGTGAATGCTGGTGTTCTGTCCTTTTACGTAATTTATTTTGTAAGCTTATGATTATAATTGATAAACACAATGGCCTCAATAAATGTAGTTGTATTCCTTTAGAAAATAAACACATGTCTACTGAGAAACCTGATCACTTTACACTCACAGCAAGGATTAGCATGCTGGTATTATTAAGCTACTTAAAATGGTCTCTTTTGTGGTATTATTATTTTTAACAAGAGAAACAATGGATTTTCATATTATATCATCAACATTTGTATGTATCTTCCATTGGCAATCAGATGCCTTGGGTTATGGGACATTGTTTTTCTAGGCAACACAAACAGAAATATAACACAATGCCGTTAGACTGGAGTATTTTCCAATAAGAAATGAAATGTCTGCCTACATGCAACATGCACAGTACAGCCAGTCATGCCTTTCCCAGTGTCTGATTACAGCTAGCTTTAACATAATCAAGGAAATAAAGTGCACATTATGAATACAGTAAAGAACTTCTAATCCTATAACCCTTTTTGAATTCTTTAACACTTCCTCCCAGCTGTCAGATTTTTGTCAGGATCCTAAAGCCCATATTCTGTTTTTTGGCGCCCTATTAGCATCATTTCGTCCATCAAGCGACATTAATTGTGAATGAATGCAAACTCCTGCAGAAGAATACGGTCTTCAAGAGGCCTGGCACATACTTTCTCCACTTGGGAGGACCTTTAACCTACTTAGCTGAGGAACCGCACCGTTTCAAGTAGTGCAGCTGAAAGATATGCACCTGCCCGCTTTTTACTCTCACACTGCCCGGACATTTAAGAGGAGAGAATGAATTTGATCTAAATGGCACTACGCTGACTTGCAGGTGTGGCATTTTTCCACACCAATGCAAGCCACTGGGCCGGCCATAGGACAGATGTGGTTTAAATGTAAGGGTTGGAGTGAGGAAGACAAATCATGTGTGCTGTTGCAAGATTCAGTCTCCGTATTCAAAGCTCAAAACGGGGTTTATGCTTCACGGAATAGTATAGGTCTATTATATTTCGTGGGTAAAAACGCTACAAAAATATTTCAAAACCATGGACATAACGCCTTACATTTTCATCGCCACTGAATCGCTTTTTTTGTAATTAAGAAATTCGTTTTAAGGAATTATTTGAATGTGTTCTGTTGTCAGACATTAACTGTGTATACGGTAAGACGTGGAGGACTCCACATCATCTTTAATCATTTCTTATTTAATATATTTATGTTTTTCCTCCAATTTAGAAATAAAAGAAGAGTCCTTTTCTTGTAGTTATTAGAACTCATTATAAGGAACTGTACCCAAGACACCCTACAATAGGCGATAACAAAGACAAAGAAAAAAGCATGCGCCAAAGTCGTGCGTAATTTACGCATGCAAAAGGAAACCTAATTGTTTTTAGTTTCTGTTTATTTTGTTTGTGATAGGATTGCAGTGAAATGTATCATCTAATATTTTACGTGGCATGGTTTTTGCATTATTCACTTGCAAATTCGCCTCTGCGCTGCACGATACTAACTATAACGCCTAAACCCTTTGGAGTATTTCTTTAACTTGCATTATGAAACAAAGTTAAGTTACAGACTTAGGTCCGGAAAGACAATAGACAATATACATCCCCATGTTTTCTGCACTTTGTGCTCGGCCGGTGTGTGGCTGAGGTTGCAGGTCAGGACCCTGGCCCTTCAGCCATCTCTCCACATCTCTCAGGGTATTGAACCAGCAACGACGAGATGGAGAAAAGCACTTCAGAAACCAGGCGCTTTGCTCCATCTGCTGCGCTGAGCTGAGCTGAGGGGGGTTAGGATGTCGGGGAAAGGTTCTCTGTATGATGTAAACTACATAAATGGATTGTTATTTTGTCCTGGTTAACAACACTTAAATGGTCCGTCAAACACTTACACATCATATATTGGAAAATTGGTTAAAAATGTCCCTATAGGATTATTTGGATTGGGCGATTGTGCAGCAATACGTCTTATCAGTAATGCACACAATGATTAAGTCACTACTGCAGGTATTGCGTGACAAACCGCTTCCTGTAGAATAATGACACATTAGGTTGCACTGTTTTTTAAAATCTTATTCCAGCAATTAAGCAATCAAACGCGTGTTGAATTGTTTCCAAGTGAAATAATCGAGAAAGATTCCAAATGTATTAGTCAGGGAGGAGATATTTTTAAAATGTGTATCTACAGGTGAAAGCAAGACGGCTAATACGCGAAATAACACAGCATCCCGTGCGTAATTCTGGGGGGGAAATATAATTGTTATCATACAGCCAGCAGGACTTCAATGATTCTCCTTGGAGCGGCAAGTATCAGGCTTATTTAAATGAATGTTACATTTTTTGCATTATGAATTCTACACGCCGGTTGTATTTTACGCACAAAGCAACACAACTATTTACATGAACATCTAGCAAAGGGGTTTGGTTATTTAGATGATGTTCTCTATAAATGTGTCAGATGTATGAACCAACCTTTGCTGGGCCTTCTTCACGGCTCCTTGGCGCGTCCTTTTATCTCGCTCCCTTCTGCCTTGGCCACATCAAATTCACTGGATGTAAAACATAAAAGTTAACTTAGATTGACCAATATAATAATGTAGACTCTGATAAGCGTTGCATGCAGCCAACCAGCTCCAGATTTTTATGGGATCCTAATGTGGAGGGTCTGTGGACCAGGGTCCTGCTCTCTGACTCAGTAATCCACAAGGTTGAGAGGTTTGCCTCATTTACATAATGTTAGAGGTCTGGGCCGAGGCCTACCTTTTCTTTTCGCCATGAAAAGACACCATGCTGCTGCTTCTAAAAAAGTGGAAAAGACGCACAGGATTCTGGACAAGGGCAGGAATATTTGCAGGTATGAAATATTAACTTAACTTAAGAAAGGTGATCATTATCATTTGTATTCTCTCCTGGAAATAGTGTTTTATTATTATTATTATCAAGAGATTTGCACCTGTTTTCTCCGAAACAGTTAATTCTAGGATTTATTTGTCCTACTTCGGCGTCTTTCTGTCAACTCCAGCTGACTTTGGAATACGCACGCATTGTTTGCCTTACCTCAACAACAATAAAGTCCAACCACTTCACTTTAAATCCGCTGCGGAATCCAGACATCTGAGGGACAAACAAAAAACAGAAGAAATTCGGGTAGTAAAAATATGCGAGAATAATGATTTATTACAACCAGGCTGTCAAGTTAACCGGTGTTCTTGATATCTCGCTATAATTGATGGCTGACCATGTCACGTCTTCAATTGCTCAATTAGGGTAGCTAGCTACTTGCTGCCATGCCATGCTAAATTACATTAGTGGCTTCATGGAGACGAGTGTTTCCTTCCTCCAATACAAGCAAGATGGGTACACATTTCACCTCAACGCACAACACCTGCTCCTGCTGCTGTCTGCTGCAAGGTGTTGATGAAAAACATACAAATATCATTATGATTATTAGCGTTTATGAGCAGCATTATAGCTCTCCCCCTCTCAATTATGATGAGCTATAGGCTCAATAATGTGTTATAGATCCATAGAGGAGACCCATGTTATAGGCTTTAATGGGAAGCTACATTAACTGGTGTTCATTATTGCAATTTGTAGTAGCTCTTTTCTCTTTTGACCCCCTCTGTTGTGTGTCTCCTTCCTCTGATTCTTCCCCTGGCGCCAGTCAGTTTGCTCAGAGATTACAATGTCAGGTCAAGACTGCAAAGTGTCATTGGAACATAGTGACAAGACTTGAGGGTTTTGAGGCTCACAATATTGTCTCCAAATTGCATTAAGTGGATGAAGAATATTCTTTATTCTAAGAAAGGTCGAGTTGTAATCTTTCATAAATTATGCAGGAATTGGTTTCAGGAAACCTGGCGATTTGGACAGATAATATTGTTTAAATCCTGGGTATTATACTCCTCTGCAGATCATGGAAGTTAGATTGTGATATACTCACAGGTTTGGATCTCTATTGCAGCTCCCTTTCAGCATGTTGAGCTTATTCTGACTTGTGCCTTTCTGCTGGGGCAAAATGATGCTTAAGAAGCATACATGAGCCGGTCATACAACTTCATTGTGGCTCTTTGATGATACTCGGTGGCCCTTATGTCTGTTCAAAGTGCTCTCAAAGTTTCTAGAAAGAGTGGAATTCCCTCCTGACGCAAAACATTTTTCATAATGTGGTCAGATCAGCTGATGTGCAGCAGGGTTATTCTCACCTGTATGTCAGGGGAAAAAAGGCATTCGAAAATAGATGGTGAAAAAAAAAAACACGTTTTATTTATTTATACAAGTTAATATAAAGCAAAGAGTATTTATTTCATGAATTATTTCGCTAAAATGTCAATGACTATTGTTTGCTGGTTTAGGAGGTTTGCTCCGCCCCCTGTGTTTGTCGTAAACCTGGCTCCTGGCTCCAATAAACCCGGGCTAAGAGCGCCCTGGGCTCGCCTCCTTCTCCAAGGCGATCAATAGGATCTCAGGCGCTCTACAAGCACTCTCTTACGTAGTCATCCACCAAGGAGAGAGCCGATACAACAACACGGCTGATCTGCTCAAACACAAAAATCTACCTGCTTTCTGAATCATGTCGTTGAGCCCAAAGCACACTACGCCTTTTTCAGTGACAGATATTTTGAGTCCAATCGAGGAGTCCTACAAGAAGTTTAGTGGCATGGACGGCGCAGGGAACCTAACCTCTCCACTGGGAGCCTACCGACAGCCTCAGGTGTCTCAAACCGGCATGCAACAGCACTCCATGGGCCATAACGGCACCGTGGCCACCACGTACCACATGCCGCACACCGTCTCCCAGTTCTCCCACAGCTCGATGGGGGGATACTGCAATGGAAGCATTGGCAACATGGGAGACCTCCCGTCGTACCAGGAAAGCATGCGGAATAGTGCAGCAGCAACAGGGTGGTACAGCTCCAACCCTGATCCAAGATACTCCACAAGTAAGTTATTTGATCCATTTATGCACAATTTTCTATTTTTTTTTAAATGTCATTATTAATAAATATAAATACATTGACATATGAGGAATGAGAGGGGCAGACGCACAAGGCTAAATATGCTTTGCTTTTTTAATAATATTTAATCAATGTTTGGGTAGCTAACGATAAAAAGTAAATGCAAATTATTTACACAATTTTAAGACTTCTTTAATTTACAAGGACTATTTCTGACGATTAAACTGAAAAGGAGATCATTCTTTCAAGTCTGGCTCGACTTTTTTTATCTTTGTCATGATCAAATAATTAAAAGCATTATTATTAATATGATATGTATTATTATTATCATTATTATTATTATTGTTATTATTATTATTATTATTATTATTATTATTAGTGGTATTATGATTAATATCAAATGTGTTTTTTAGGCTAATGCTTTCCAGCTTGTGTTTTATTTGCTTATAGTAATAAAACAATGGATAAAGACAGGCGAAACAGTGTTCTCCTCTTCTGTTTATTGAACGCATGTATATGTATGTATATTTTTAAGTTTCTAGATTCATGGGACATTCCACAGGTATGAACATGTCCGGCATGGGGAGCCTCTCAGGAATGGGGGACCCTTCCAAATCCATGCCAGTTCTCCACTCAGCGCCCAGGAGGAAACGGCGCGTCCTGTTCTCGCAGGCTCAAGTCTACGAGCTGGAGAGGAGGTTTAAGCAGCAGAAGTACCTGTCGGCGCCTGAGAGGGAGCACCTGGCCAGCATGATCCACCTGACACCGACCCAGGTGAAGATCTGGTTTCAGAACCACCGGTACAAGATGAAGCGCCAGGCCAAAGACAAGGCGACGCAGCAGCTGCAGCAGCAGCAACAGGACGGGAACCTGTGCCAGCAGCAGTCGCAGTCCCCGAGGCGCGTAGCCGTGCCAGTTCTGGTCAAGGACGGCAAACCGTGCCAGAACGGCTCCAACACGCCGACGCCGAACCAGCAACAGGTGCAACAGAGCCAACAACAAAACCAACAACAGAACGGAGCCGGAGTTGTGCTCGCATCCTCGACCAGCAGCCTCAGCCAGCACCAAAGCCAGCAGCAGCAGCAGGTGAACGCTATGGACCTGGAGGAGATGTCGCCCAGCCCCCCCTCACTGCACAGCCAGCTCAACATGGCCCAGATAGACAATTCTGCTGTAGATTACACCAGTAACATGGTCAGCTCAAACCTCCTCTACGGCAGAACGTGGTAGGACTTAATACATACTGTCACTTTCCACTTTTTCTATGTGAACCTGCGGATGAGCCCACGAGCAAAACAATATTCATATATATATATATATATATGTTTCATATATGATATATCATATATGAATATTGTGGGAACTGAAAACGGGGGCCCTTTGGTGTTGGAGAAACATCAGGGCACAGAGGCGCACCAGCTGATCAGGGCACATTTTCTTGACATCTCTGAGAGGGGAGTCTATTTTTGAACATTACAGAAATGGCTGCCCTTGAAAGCAATTATGTCGTTTCTGGACCTTTTGTAATCCATGTTTTGGACCTTCCTCATGATGTTTTAAACGTAGTCTATGTTGTTGAAACAAAAAGGAATGCTGCTTCACTTGAGTTCGGATTTGGGGTGTGTGGGGGAGGGGGGTTTGAGGGGGAAAGGTGGGATCAGGTTTGGAGTACTAAAGCCACCACTCCTTATTTACGGTGATAACCTGGTATTTTATCATATTAATATTGTAAACTAATGTATTCATTTAGAATGATTAAATAAAGTAGGGACTTGTATATTTGGCTAACACACAAGAATGCGTTTAACTGTATAATAATCGTTATTGCGTCCACTTTTATGTTTTCTCTATTCTTTTGTAAGTTAAAAAGGAACACATGCGTGATGGCTGCTGTATATGTTTCAAAAACCAAGTGAACGTTAACAATAAATAACTGGAAGTGTGAGAGCTATTCCTGAAGAAGTATTTTTTTTTAAAAAAGGGATCTGTTTTGGAGTGCATTTTCATTATGTTGTGATTGAGACCAAATTGAGCAGGAAAGCAAGGTCGATGAGGGAGCCAGCATTGTTCAGGTGACATTTTGGAGGGCTGCCTTTCATGGAGGAAGTCTGCAGGAGTCTAAGACCGGGAATCACCTTTTTTAAATCACTAACACTCACAAGCAGGTTTAATAGTGATTTAAATTAATGCATCAATGTATAAATAATATAGTTTCTTTTTTATGAAACTCCTCAAAATACATTAATCTTACTGAGTTTAATAGGCCCAGACCTTCGTTGTGCCGTAATGTAATTGGTCAATTTCATCGGGAATGCGAGGCTCCATAAAACACACAACGACTAGCAATTATTGGAAAATCGAATATATTACATAAAAGAATGAAGAGCATGCCTCAAATTATTATGATCTTGCATTAAGGTTAATTACACTCGAATTATTAGTATTATTATTAATATTATTAGTATTATTGTTGTTATGCACAGGCCTCACTCGTCAAATTATACGTTTCGAAAAATTATGGATTCCAACACCAACCATGCAAAACAAATGCGAATAAAGAAAAACTGTTTATTAATTACAATTTGTAAAATGTATATTATTTTAGACATTTTATTCAAATTTCTCGAATTTGTATTAAAGATCATATTTGAGCGTGAAGCTGAATGAGAAAGTTACGAGTATGATATTTAGTGCACTGTTGGGGATACAATGAGAATATAATACTGTAAACTAAATTAGTGCAAAATGTCAAATCTTTCAAAAATGTATCAAACTTTAATTTCGTTATTTGACACATACCTTTTAATAATAAAAAAGATTCCATAATATATTATAAGCATAATTGCAACAATCTAAAGATTTACAAAGAATCTCCTTCACGTTCAAACAACAAATGCAAGTGTTGATATATGTGAGTGTAATTTAGATTTATTATAACAGGGATATTATTATTATTTTATGATGCATTGAAAGGCACTGTCAGCGAATGTTGAAAATACCCATTAGCTACAGTTTATTTTTTATTCATACACACATGCACTAGACACACATACACACACACACACACACACACACACACACACACACAGACACACACATACACACACACACACACACACACACACACACACACACACACACACACACACACACACACACACACACACACACACACACACACACACTTGCATGCTCATTCTGATCAGTCTCTTTAGAAGATGAATGATTTGTGCACACAAACTCCAAAGTGTTTAAGGTCATCACTTAGCATCACTGTCGGTTCCCCTTTACTGTCCTCCAAAACCTCTCATTTTTTACACAAGCAGTGGCTGATAATAGGATCTAACATTTCATTTCCTGTGGTCATTTAAACACATTTTGAAATTACTTCTCAATCCCCTTGCTGATGACACCCTGTGATGATGATGATGGCTATCAGTGTGTCTCAATGGAGACCTTGGAGAGCCCCCATTTCCAACCCCTTCACATACCTGGCAGCTGTATGTATATGTGCTATCATCCCTACACTCGAAGGAAGCATCAGAGCCAATATGCACCTGACATTTGGTACTGAGCTCGGCAACTCCATCAGAAGGGAGTTTGATAAGAGCATTAAAAAGAGAAATGCATTCCACAATATACACTTTGATGCTGCAAAGGTGTTCCTGATAGATTTTGTTTCTCAATTGAGGGCATGAATGAGCTGTCAACAAAGATTCCTGATAGTGTGCCACATGAAATGAAAGTGGAGGTGAAGCCATTCTTTTCTCTTTTCAATAGCCATAGTTATGGCGTACTAATAGGCTATGCTTGGTAATCACTGGCTATTGTGCCTGTTGCTTCTCTCCGTTTATTGCGGGGGTACCTCTCTTTGTAAGGGTATATGAGACAGGCTTGGCACTGTAATTGGTGCTGCCATCATCATTTCTGTCTGGAAACTTTTCTAAGGCCGCTCCTGTGTGGTGTTACCTCCATGCATGTGCAGAACATCACCCACATGTGCAAAAATACCCATTTTAATTAAATAAACACATATGACAATGCCCATGACATACAAGAGAGATATTTCCATGGAAGGAGTGTTCCACCTCAATGCCATAATGATGTTACATACAGCATGAACCAGGGGATAATAGATCCTGCTGATGTATATATATTTTTTGACTATTATTCTCAGGTAATTGCAGGTTGCACTGAATAATGTGAATGTAGAAGGAAGCCTTGCTTTATACTCTGCACCCCCCCAAACTCCCTTCCTCCCCATTATTCTACTTAATATGTCAGAAGGTCTGATCACAGAGAAACCTTTTCAAGTCCTATTGATGTGTTCCTCAATTGACCATGGCGACCTAGCAACCGAGACAGCGCTAATTGGCGAGGGCTTAACATTATTGGCTGCATAGTTTACACAGAAACATGGCACGAAAATATAACCCTCATCATGCACAGTTTTCTTTTTAGTTTTGCCCGTAGAAGAGGAAGTTGTTTTGTGTTGTTGGATTTCCTCAAAAAAAGCAATTAGAACTAAAGCTAAAAGCAGAGTCTGACCTAGTTTCTGAGTGAAAAACAGTGCATGGGTAAGACTTTCCCTAAAAACACACATAGGTATAGAACAAATAATGTGGCTCCACTCCACAGAGGGATTGCATATCCTTCATGGAGTTTTGAATGGTACCTAAATGAAAAATATTTAGGTAGTCATCATTTAAAATCAGTGTCAATAAAGTTTCCCTGACAAATTCCACTACCTTCTCTCTCCTCTATTTCTCATGGTCCCCAATGCCCCATGTGAAATGATTAGGAGTGGCGAGGCCCGCTTTTCATTTCACTGTGAGAATGAATGCATTTGAATTGGCAAGTTCTGAGAGACACAGAGCAAGATTTTTAATTAGTATATTGCCCTCGCATTCTGCCAAGAAGAGACAATCTTTGTCTTTTCTATGACAAACCTGTGCCTGCTGGATTCGTTAGGTTTCTAAAGAATGAGTCACTGCACAAGTCTTTGACCCAGAAGGCAGAAAGTTCCTTAATTCTAGTCATTTTCAAATGGAAAAAAATAGCCTGCAAATAATCATCTTCCTACAGAGGGAAAAAAAAACATTTCAAGAAGGTCATAGGACTCTGAAAGCAATTCTCACTCTAATAGAATTCCATGAAATTAAATACATGAAACCACATTTTCACTGTTGCATTTGGTTTGACGAAAACATTAACACTCAAATACACACATACACACACACACACACACACACACACACACACACACACACACACACACACACACACACACACACACACACACACACACACACACACACACACACACACACACACACACACACACAATGATATGCTTTTCCAGGACTTGCTCTGGCTAATTCCATTGCTCACTATGAATACCATTTTAGCAATATGAGGCAAAGCAACCTTTTGAAGACTATTCACAAATCTCTGTACTAGGAAGGGTTTGGGTGGGGGGGGGTGAAGTATAGAGGACCAGGTTAGGAGTGTGGGTGTGTGTGTGGTGGTGTTGGGGGGGGCAGCATCCCTTATTAGAAAACCATGTCACATTCTCTCCCTCGCAGGCCGGCCTCGCTGCGCTGCCAGTAATCCCCCCTCCAAGTCCCCCTATGCATGTTATTCAATTCGCTCATAAGTAGTTAGAGAAACTGTTTTCAGTTGCCACTAATAACTACTGACCTCCAGTGACACAGGCCAACAATAGGTTTGTCAGGCCTGAAACGCACAACCAAAGAAGCTGATTAGGAACTCAAGAGGTTTGAAGCAAGAATCAATGGCTGCTCTGTCCTGCCACGGTGCTTCCAGCATGGCACTGATGGTTGTGGGACTTCCATTAGTTCTGCCTCATTAAGTCCCACAAACTCTTCTTTAAGAAAATTAGTTTAGGCAATTCCAAAATCTATTACGGCCGTGGAGCCCCTACTGAGGTGCCACTGTGTTTAGGCTCCAGGACACAAGACGTGTGGGAGTGTGTGACATTAACACTCAATACATTTGGATCCTCTTTCCTTCCTTTATTTAAGCCCTAAATTAAACATTAGCACATATTGTAACCTTTCAATTCTTCATCATTGCTGTTTCACACTAAATATTTGTTAACATTATATTTATATTTTGTAAAATATTGAACTAAATTATGAACTACAGTGTTTTAAGCAAACATAATTACTGGCTGTAGTCCACAAGCTACAGTATGTCAGGTGGGACCATAGTGACATACTTTTATCATAATTCATATTTGTTGTGTAACTATCATGTCTGGAATTAAAAAAGACAATATGATTTTTCTTATGTGTTTTTTCTAAATGTAGTAGTATTCCTTTATTTGTCCCCGAGGGGAAAATGGGTTGCAGCACATCACAAGGCATTTAAAAAGATAAAACATAAGTCACTGACAACAACATGGACACAGATTAAAAATAACAGATGTATGGGACAATGAGTTTACTCACACGTTGAAATGACTGACGCCTTTTGAATATGCTCTGTCTGTCTGTTACATTGACAGCACCACACATGATATAATTATACACCATCCTTGGAATTGCCTTGAATCTGTTGGCAAATTACTCAAAAACAAACCAA